TTTAAACATATCAATGTTCACATTTCTTGTAGCTCCTCTGTTAACTGGGAGCCAATGGGATTATGAATCACTGCTCAAGATGCTCCCTGCAGCTACATCCTGGGTCCTCTGCACTGTGGAACAAACCCTTAGAAATGCAGTGAAACCCCGATTAGGAAGGGAGCCCAGCGGGGCTTGGGCTCAGACTCAGGAGGCCTCAAGACATGCATTGCATCCCAGCTCCTGGTCCCATCCCTCCTTGGCAGGGACATCCAGGGACAATTCCTTGGGTTCTGGCTCCACACTGCCCATCAGCTGGCCTATAAGAGCACAAGCTTGTGCTCAAGCCCACGCCCTTCCTCCTGGGCTCTGCCAGTCAACTGCTACCCTGGGCTCCACACATCCAGACATCAGGCCCACCTCTGTGGCCACCACCCTGTTGCCCTTCCTCTGAGAACCAACAGAATCAGAAAGTTTGGGCTCACAGCACCTCCCTCTGGCACTCCCCTGCTGGTGGGGTTCCTGAGAGCTGCTGCAACCAGCCGTAGAACCACACATAACGTCCCCCTTCTATTCTAGGTCCAATTTCTGAGACTCAACTTCCAGATGGGAGAACAGAAGAGAAATGAGACCTCATGGTAGATACAGGTAGGTAACCTTCCTGCTCTCTTGTGCCGCTTTGCTGATGAGTCTTACCAGTGGAAGGTGCGGCCTCCACTCAGCCCCTCATACTTATGTCTAGGGTGAGGCACGGCCCCTCTGGAGGAAGGTGATTCGGAGTCATCAGTACTGACCTGAGACCCTGGACAGTCTCCTTTGCGAGTTTTGATAAGTTTCTTTAAGTTACTTAACCTTCCTGGGCCTCAGATCCCTCCTGGGTTTATTCATTGCTGTAGATTAAATATAATCACCTATAGAAAACACCTAATGCAATGCAAGTCCCCAAGAAACGTTTGTGAATGGGTGAGGTCAAATTTTTCCACGAATTAAACCCTGGGAAGATTTTATCGTGTATGCCCTTACAAGAAACACTGCACAACATAACATGTGTTCTCATGCAATTTTGTAAAAGATGTAGAAGCATTATTCAGGCCACTGTGCCTTTACTAAAACCGTATATTAACTGATAACTCTTCAAAGATAATCTAACAGACAGCTAAACTGAAGTAGCTCAGTGAGACCCAAAGAGCCTCTTAGAGATTTCTGGTCAATATGGCCACACAGATAAGTATGGTACTTGCCTCCTCCCACAACCACATCAAAATTACAACTAAACGGCAGAACAGCCATCATTCAGAAACCACCTCAATCTAGCAGAAGAGAAGTCCTACAACTAAGGATATGAAGACACCACCTCGGCACTGGTAGGAGAGGTAGAGCCGTGTAATGGGCTGGTCTCACACCGACGTGTGGGGGGTGTAATCGGGAGGGATATCTTGGCCGCAAAGGTGCTCCCTGAGGAGCGAGGGGTCCCAGCCCCACACAAGGTTCCCCAGGTCAGGGTTCCAGAGGCAGGAAGAGAAGTCCCCATAACTTCTGGCTGTAAAAACCAGCAGGGATTGAGGCTGAGGAAACTAAAGGGCTGCTGGAGTTCCAGTTGGTTCACAGACTTAATTGGATTCAGCTCAGCTCCACTGCAGGTACAGGAGCTTAAAAGGCACAAGAGACATATGGGAAGAAGCGCATTGTTTGACATGAAAGCAAGAGCTGGACAGGCAGCATTCTCCCAGACAGAAGTGCTGGCAGAGGCCAGTGTTCCTTTATTGAGCCCTCCCCTCACAGAGTCAGCAGGCAAGGGCCATGTCTGAGATCCCATCAACCTGGCTCACGCTGTTTGATGCACCCTGGTGACAACCTGAAGCCCTGCCCCATCCAACTTCCAGGCCCATCCAGCTGTTTCCAGTAGCTTTTCCATATGGAAGGCATGTCTTAGCCCATGTTTCAAATATTCTTATTCTCTCAAAGCAGCAGCATTTGGCCTCAATGAGCCTCACTCCTTTCACTAAGTGGCTCCAGGCCTGGCACTAGCAGCAACCAGCCTTGCTTCAGAACTTAGCTTCATCTGGGGACCTCTAAGCCCAGCACAAGTACCAGCTTTGTAGCCCACCTGGTGGGCAGCTTCAGGCCTTTCCAAAGCACCACCACCTGGTCAAGTCCACAAGCAACACACTCCAGGCATGGACTAGGCAGGCACCAGAGCCTCACTGAAGTAGGTCCTACTCTGTGGGATGGGCCCCTGAACTGCTGACACTCCACTGTGGTCAGAGGTCTGCGGTCAGTGGAAAACAGCTAATCCTTGCGGCTGATCGGCCTCGGTAAATCCCTCCCATTGAAGTGCCAACGGTGATCAAGGCTCAACTACAAGAAAAGTGTACATCCCACAATGGGAATGTCCAGCTTGGATGACTGGGGAGGTTGTGCCACGGGACCCTACAGAACACTTACTACACTCTACCAAGCCTGGGAGACATAGCAGTTCTTCCTAATACAGAGAAACCAACAAAGGGAGGCTGCCAAAATGAGGAGACAAAGAAATGGCTTAGCCACAATAAAACTCCAGAAAAAGAACTAAACAAAAGGGAGACAAGCATTCTACTAGATGCAGAGTTAAAAACACTGGCTATAAGGATGCTAAAGGAACTTAGAACTTCAATAACATAAGAGAGAACCAGTCAGAAATGAATGATACACTAATTGAAGAGAATATTTTACACAGAATCAACAGTAGAGTGGATGAAGCCAAGAATCAGTGGTTTGATGTATAAGGAAGTCAAAAAACACCCAATCAGAACACCAAAAAGGAAAGAAGGAAATAAGGAAGGAAGAAGGGAGGGAGGGAGGGAGGAAAGGGAGAAAGAAAGAGAAAAATAAGGATAGTGTAAGGAGCCTCTGGGAAAACTTCAAGCACAACAACATTTGCATCATGGGGGGTGACAGAGTGGGAAGAGAGCAAGAAATTGAAAATCTATTTGAAAAAATAATGACAGAAAACTTCCCTAATATGGTGAAGGAAAAAGACATACAAATCCAGAAAGCACAGAGAGTATCAAACAAGATGAACCCAAACAGGCACACACCAAGCCACATCAAAATTAAAATTCCAAAGCTTAAAACAAAATCTTAAAAGCAGCGAGAGTAAAGTAGTTAGTTACCTACCAGGGAGCTCCCATAAACATGCCAGTTGATTTCTCTAAAGAGACTTCACAGGCCAGAAGGAATGGCAAGAAATAGTCAAAGTGATTAAAAGCAAGGACCTACAAACAAGATTACTCTACACAGCAAAGCCACCAGTTAGAATCAAAAGACAAATGAAAAGCTTCCCAGACAAGAAAAAGCTAAAGGAGTACAAAACCACCAAACCTGTATTATATAAAATGTTAAAGAGTCTTCTTCAAGAAGAACATTAAAAACATGAACAACAAAATGGCAATAAATACATCCCTACCTACCAACAATTGAATCTAAAAAACAAAATGAAGAACAGAAACAGATTCAAAGAGACAGAGAACATTTTGACAGTTGCCAGGTTAGCGGTGGGGGTAGAGGGAAGGGCAAAAATGTGAAAAGGATTAAGTACAAAATAGTTGTTACAGAAGAGTCATGGGGATGTAGAGTACAGCAGAGAGAGTATGCTCAATAAGTCTAACAACAATGTATGGTGTCAGATGGGTGAGAGATTTATCAGGATGATCGCTTATTAAGTTACATGATGTCTAAACACTAGGGTGTACACCTGAGACTAGTATGATAATGTACATCAACTGTAATTAAAAATCAGAAATGATTTTTAAAAAAGCCCCTTAGAGCAGAATGCATGCTGTTTATTCTGCATACATTATGACGTCTTTCATGCCAAGTTCGTAACTGCACTCTAAAGGTCGGTAACGGAACCACTGGCATTCATTTTCATAGCTTACTGCTGACGTGCCTCAAGATTCTCATCGGAAGAAAGAGAAGAAAGACACCTTGAGGCCTGAAAGGTTAGGGACTATTGCGTTACATGTGGCCAATCCACTTAGTGCTGAGCAGAGGGTGGTGACAAAACCAGCCACCCCTCATAACCCTTTCCTCTTCTCATCACACTCACAACATCACCGTTTCCTCAGTCCCAGTCACTCCCCACAGCTAAGTTGCTCACTTGGCTACAACCGGGAAAGGCACCGATGACGCAAAGGAAATATCCATCACATCGGTTAAGTTAGACGGAATCCAGGCTCTGCATGACTGCAAATAGGTCAGTGGGCCAGTCCCTGCAGCTGTCCCTAAGAAAATAGCACAACTCTTCCACTTAAACTTCACCCTTCATTTTGTTCCTGTATCACTGAGCGCAGTGATCACATTTCTAGCAAGTAACACAAGTGGCTGCAGAAACCTTAGCTGCCTCCTTTTTTCTAATACTTGCAGTAAAAGAGAAAATCATCTGGTGTATACTCATGAAGTTGTCTTAAATTACATTACTGTGAAGAGAACTATTTACCGCTGGCCCTGGTGGCAATTTAACTTTTGCAGAAGGGATGATTGCGCATTTGCTCAGGTATGTGACCACACATCACGAAAGCGAGCTATGATAAAAGCAGAAACACATGTGGGAAAAGGGACTGATTTCTTGTGAGCCTAAGGTAACTGTTCTTCCTGTCCCTGTGCTGGCACCTGGAGAGCTCCCTGCTGACGGTCCCTCAGACCTGCTTCCCACGGTTCCTCATAGGCCCTGGTTCACACTGTTAGCTCACTAATAGTGACAAAGTGCAGAGGAGAGATACAAGGACCACTGACCCCGTTGAGCCCGGAGAAAAGCTGCTCAGCCCTGTGAGCACACCCCTGAGCTCCAAGTGAAGTGCCCAGGCCGTGCACAGGTGTGAGGATGGAGGGGACCCCTCCCCTAGCAGGTGCAGAGCATTTGCTAAGCAGCCACTGCTGCCCCGCCAATGTGAACACAGACCCTCCAAAGTGGATATTTCAGATCCTAGAAAGCACTGACATGCAAACACACAAATACACGAAGAGTCCTAAACGTGGAACTTCAAAATTAAGCCCTTTATTTTTGGACTGTCATCAAAGTATCTAAGGTCACTTTGGGTTCAGGCACATTGTAAAGTGTCAAAGGAAAATTGGGGCAGTAAGATGACGGAAGAAACGCTACAGGCAGTGCTGACCATTTCCTTAAGGGGAGGAGAACCGGCCACAGAACAGAATACTGTTGGTTTTGCTGTGCTGAATAAAGAAAAGGAAGGGGTGGTCAGCACAGAACCTGGGGGTGATTCTTGCACAGCGAAGCATCATGATGGCGGCAGTGGCGGCCGCAGCCTCCGTGCCTTCCTCGTTCACCTCGACAAAGGACTTGTGCATGACCTTGGACAGAAACAGGTCTCTCGCGGACGACATCCCAGAAAAGTCTGCGCTGGCCTGCTCAAAGGCATCAGTCATGCCCAGAGAGCGAAGCACATCCTCCATGTCGTAATTCTCCTCCAGTTTAAATCTGGGCAGGAACACTTCGACCTCTTCTTCGTCCATCATATCTGGCCTGGTCCACTCTATGAATTTCTCATAAGTAAGATTTTTTTCCACCTAGAAAAGGAGGGTTGAAGATTTTATGATCTAAAACAGTGCTGCCCAGTAGAACCTGGGCTATTGTGTGAACGTTCTACGATGCGCGGTAGTACATGGCAGTGATGGGAAGTTACACTACTTGAGAAATATTCACGGGGAAATGCGCAAACTGCTAAGCAGAAACGCAAGCCTGATGCCCTGCCATCAAAGCACAATTATTCCTTAGCACTCATTACCGTTTCCAGATCGACATTTTCATCAGGAAGCATGATGATCATATTCAGCTCTTTGCCAACATAAGGCAGCACCAGAATTTTGGTGAATATTTCTCCTATGTAGGTCATATTAAACGTAGATTTCTTAAACATCATTTGCACAGGCTTCTCCTCATTCTATTTTTTAAAAAAAGATAAACTTGAGTTGAAACAATACCCAGTTTACACACCGAACAAATCAACAAAGCTAGCTACTCTGGGTCCCTAGAAATGATTTCTCGGCTTCCACAACCGATCAGCCCCCCCTTTCGCCAGTGTGAATTCACTGCCTCAGCCTCCGGACACTGGGGTGCTTGGGACTCGCTCCTTACACTGCTTTTCCCTTGGCGATGTCATTCAGTCCTGTGACTTCAAGTACCATTTCAAATTTATACTTCTAGCTGGGACCTTTCCCCTGTACTCAAGACTCGAATACTATATCCCTGCTTGACATCTGCTTTGGACATAAAAGAAACCTCCAGTGCCACATGGCACACTGGGCTCCTCATAATCCCTTCCAAGTCTCTTCCATCTACAATTTTCCCCATCCCGGTTGATGCCTATGCCATTCATCCCATTGTCTAAATCCCTGTCTTATTTCTGACTCCTGTCTTTCACAGCCCACATCTGAATCATTCGCAAATCATTTTGGCTCTGCGTTTAAAATATAACAAAAATCTGACTTGTTCTTTCTACCTCCACTGCTATCAGCCTAGGCCTGGGCACTGGGATGACCTCCTAAAAGATCCCCAAGATTCCTTTCCCCTTGTGACTTCCTCACCCAGTGGCCAGAGGGATCGCATAAATCCCATATTAAATCAGACCACATCACGCTTTCACTAACCACCTTTCCAGGGCTCCCCTCCACGCCAAGGAAGTGAAAACTAAAGTCCTAAAAGCGACCTGTAATTGTGACGAGAGCTCGTTCCCCTAAGCCCTCCGTTCCCTTCATCTGCTAGGCCCACAGGAGCCCCTTGACGGTGCTGCAGGCAAACCAGGCCCAGCAAGCTCGTCCCCAAGACCTGAGAGCACACGCCCTCGAACACAGGGACTGCTTCCAAGAATCTCCCTTGTACTGGAAAATATTCACCTTGCTGATTTTAAATGATCTTTCCTTGGTGTGCTCTTTGTTAAACTGAGTGTCCCAGTTTCCTTTGAAGTAGATGGCATTCACGAGAACCAGACAAGTAGCCGGATTAACTGAATTTCGGGACAGCAACTCTGAAATTTTACCTGAAAAGAAGAATTAAAGAACCAGTCAGCTAAGAGGGTTCTGATGCATGCTTCGGGAAATACATTCAGATGGGCCATCTCCCTGCGTAGACAGGTACACAGATAAAGGAGTTCACAGTCCCCCAAATGTAACCACGTAAAGACGTACCTTAAAAATACCATCACTGGAATGAAACATGTAAAATTAACAAAAGGATATATGCAGATTGAATTTATCACAAGTGAGATAAGAATGCCTGGTACCTAAGGAAAGGTGCAAGTTTGCAGCAAATGTAAAGAACAGTTTAAGGGAAGAATCACAATTAGATGGGGGCATCTCTAAGGGCCCTGCCTGGGACTCTGCAGGGCCAGAGCCACGTTGCATTGGAAGACATCCTGAGACCTGTATCCAAGTGTTTCTTTACACTATTTGTGAAAAGAAAGACTAGATTAACATTAACAACAAAAATCAAAGTGTGGGTTGTTCTGGAAGAGCTGTACTGGATATTCAGAGACATCACAGGTGTTTCTGATAACAGGAAAATTTTAGAAAAAACAATCATACATTGTCAATATATCAGAAGTGGATTTTAAAAGTTTGCAGCTTTTTATAATTATTTTATTTATGGATTTTAGAGAGAGAGAAGAAGGGGGAGGGGTATAGTGAGAGAGGGAGACATCGATTTGTTCTTCCACTAACTTATGCATCATTGGTTGATCCTCGTATGTGCTCTGATGGGGATCAAACCCAAAACTTTGGCATCTCAGGATGATGCTCTCATCAAATGATCTACCCGGCCAGGACAGTTTACAGTTATTTTGAGAAAAATTATTCACTTACATCGGATGTTCTTGTGAAGAAACTGACAGTAAAATTGATTAAAACACTATTAAAACAGAGTCACAATATATTTTCACCTTCTGTCTTCTTTGCTACCCAGGAGTTTATGTGTTTCCTGGCCTCCTCTGTAGCTTTGAAGAAGTCGACCTCTTCCATCTCTGCTTGGTAGAATTTGTGGCAGGAATCTTTGTAAGACTGGGAAAGACAGCAACATAATTGCATGGCCACAAAAGCAAGCAACACCATCTGCTTAAGTCTTCATTGTGACAAACAGAACATAGATAATTTTATGATCTACACGTAATATGAGGAATTAGAATATTGGGGAATAAGTAAATAAATAATATGAAGATAAAGAAGTGAGGAATTAATCTGAAATCCAATTTCTCAACTTTCAGCTGCATTCGATAGTAGTTTAAAAACTAAGTACAGTGCTCAGCTGAATATCAAATAAACATTATACATTGCTAGATCCTTAAGGGAGTAGCTGTGCATCAATGAGGTAAACACAGAGACACTAGATGGAGCACCTACACATTGTCCCTCCACACAAGCCACTGCATTTGCTAAGCGACATCCTACCCACAGCAAGAGCCACAGCTCGCTCTACATTCCAGAACCAGGGCCTATTGTTTCATATGCTGCAGAGGAAATGTGTTATTCTTCGCTACCACTTCCACCGCAGCTTTCTGTGATGACAGAAAGGTTCTACATCTAAGCCGCACGTGACTACTGAGCACGTGAAATATGGCTCTTCCTGCTAAGTAACTAAACATTTAACTCTATTTCACTTGAATTAACTATGCTGAAATTTAAATAGCTACATGTGTCTAGTGGCTACCATTTTGGATAGATCATTCTAGAGTGTGACAAACTCCCCCCAAAGTTTAAACTATATTTTGTTAATATAGTCTATCAAATGGTAATATAAATGAACACCTACATTATGTCATATAAAAGCATACAATCTGATGAAAAACAAATGGACTGAAACAACAAACTGGTTGACAGTGCACTGTGGAGTGGTTTTTCCAATCTTTCTTTTGAACAGTCTGCAGCTAAGTACTTAATTCCACCTTTCAGGATTCTTTTTATATCACAGAATTCCACATTTCTCCTTCGGTGTAGCAGAAGAGAAGCAACGTAGCATACTAGCTATGAACACAAGTCCTGTGACTTAATAGCTCTGTGGCCTTAACAAAGTTGCTTAGATTCTCGAGTTTCTCTGTCCGCCCCTGTAAATGATGACGCAGCAGCACCGCATCTCAGAGGGTTACGTTGAGGACCATGTGAATTTTCATCAGTATCGTTTTACATGACATTTAATTCTCAGCATGGTGTACCCACTCTACTACATGATCTAGTTATATCACTTTATTTAATATTCACATAATTCATGCTTTGCCAATTTTACTGCCAGTTGTTTTTCTTCTGGTGGTTGTTTTTCACTTTTCAATTAGAGTTGACATTCAAGATGACATTAGTTTCAGGTATGAAACATGGTGTTTAGACATTTATATGACTTATAAATTGACTCTTCCCATAAATCTATGACTTATTTGACACCATTCATCCTTATGACAATGTAACTGACCATATTCCCTATGCTGTACTTTACATCCCTGTGATTATTTTGTAACTTCCAATTGTGCTTCTTATTGTCTCCAACATCGTCGCCCATTCCTCCAACCCTCACCCATCTGGTGATCATCACTTGGTTCTCTGTATCTATGTGTTTGTTTCTGTTTTCTTTATTCATTTCTTTTGTTTTGTTCTAGAGTCTACATAAGTGAAATCATAGTACTGTATTTTGCTGTGAATACGGTGCACTTTTCTGCCAAAAGTTTTGAGGGAAAAATAAGGATAAGCATTACACATGGGTAGTACTAATGCCCCATCTATATAACTGTTTTTAGCTCTTTTATTCAGCTTATGCACTAAAACTGCAACTCTAGAAAGCAATAAAGATATACATATGTTCAAATATAAATGCTAAAAATCCTTTATAACACAAAAAACAAGTGTCTAAATACAAATAAATGAAAAACTGAATTAAAAAATTAAAACGAAAGATTTTTTTTCCTGAAAGTTTGGGCCAAAAATGTGGGTGCACATTATACACAGCAAAATACGGCATTTGTCGTTCCCTGTCTGGCTCATTTCACTTAGGACTATACCCTTTCAGGTGCACTCATGTTGTCACAAATGGCAAGGTTTCATTCTTTTGATGGCTGAGGAATATTCCATAGTATATATGTACCACCTCTTCTTTACCACTCATCGATTGATGGACACTTAGGTTGCTTCCATATCTTGGCTACTGATGGTAAATAATGCTGCAGTCAACATAAGGGTGCATATATCTTTTCAAGTTAAAGTTCTCGGTTTCTTCAATAAATACATAAGTAGAATTGCTGGGTCATATGGTGGTTCTATTTTTAATTTTTCAAACAGCCTCCTTACTCTTTTCCGTAGTGGCTGCACCAACTTACAATCCCACCAACAGTGCACAAAGGCTCCCTTCTCTACACATTCTCACCAACACTTGCTGTTTGTGGATTTACTGATGAGAGCCATTCTCAGAGGTGTGAGGTGATATCTCACGGAGGTGTTAATTTGCAGTTTGCTGATGATTAGTGATACAGAGTACCTCTTCATATATCTATCGGCCATCCGTATGTCCTCTTTGGAGATATGTCTCTTCAGTCCCTCTGACCATTATAAATTAGATTCTTGTTTCTTTTGTTTTGGGTTTTCTTATTTTTGGTGTTAAGTTGTATGAGTTCCTTATAAATTACGGATATTAGCCCCTAATCAGATGTATCACTGGTGAGTGCCTGCTCCCATTCTGTAAGTTTGTCTTTTCATTTCGTTCATTGTCTCTTTCACTGTGTAGAAGCATTTCAGTTTGATGTAGTTCTATTCATTTATTTTTTTCTTTTGTTTCCCTTCCTCTAGAAGACACATCCAAAAAACATATCGTTAAGAGTGATTTCAAAGAGTTCACCGCCTATGTTTTCTTGTAGGATTGTTTGGGCTTCAGGTCTTACATTTAACTTGTTCATCAATTTTGAGTTTATTCTTACATGTCCTATAAGAAAATGGTCTAATTGCACCTTTTGCATGTATCTGTCTAGTATTCCCAACACCATTTATTGAAGAGACTGTCTTTACCCCATTGTATATTCTTGTCTCCTTTGTCACAGGTTAATTGGCCATATAGGTGAGATTATTTCTGACCTCTTTTGTTCCTTTGATCTACGTGTTTGTTTTTATGTCAGTATCATGTGGTTTTGATTACTGTAGCCTTGTACCATGGCACTGGGCATGACCCCTCCTACTTTATTCTTCAGGATTGCTTTGGCTATTCAGGATTTAATATGGTTCCATATAAATCTTAGGATTGTTCGATCTAGTTCTGCAAAAAATGCCCCTGGTATTTTCATTCGGATTGCGCTGGACCTATAGATTGCTTTGCACAGTGCGGACATTTTAACAATATTAATTCTTCCTATCCACGAAAATGCAATATCTTTAGACTTAATTGTGCCTTCGTCAATTTCTTTTATCAACGTCTTATAATTATCAGATACAAGTTTTTCACCACCTTGGTGATATTTATTCCTAGGTATTTTGTCATTTATCCATTTGTAAATGAAATTGTTTCTTAATTTCTCTTTCCTGTCATTTTAGTGTATAGGGATACAATAGATTTGTGTAATATTGACTTTACATCCTGCAACTTCACTGAATTCTTTATTAGTTCTAACAGTATTTTGGTAGAGTCTAGGGTTTTCTATACATATCATATCACCTGCAAATAGTGACAGTTTTATTTCTTCCTTTCCTGTTTCCATGTCTTTTTTTCTTTTGCTTCCCTAACTGCTGTGACGAGGACTCTGGGTCGTTGTGTTTTCACTTTCATTCTCTCAAGGTATACATACTTTGATTTCTTCCTTGACATTACTGTCAATCCATTGTTTAGTAACATATTATCTGTCCCTCCGAATGTTGACGTGTTTTTCCGTTCAACTCTTATACAGATTTCTGATTTCATACCATTATGACTACGATCGGAGAAGATGTTTGACATGATTTCAATCTTCTGAAATTTAATGAGTGTTTTTTCTTTTTGGAAGCCTAAAATGTTTCCATCCTAAAAAATGTTCCATGAGCACTTGGAGAGAATGTACATTCTTTTGCTTTTAGCTGAAACGTTCTAAAGATACCTCTTAACTTCCTCTGGTCTAATGTGTCATTTATGGCTACTGCTTCCTGACTGATATTTTGTCTGGCTGAAATACCTCTTGATGTCAATGAGGTGTTAGAGTCCCCCCAGTATGACCGTATTACTCTCAATCTCTCCCTTTAGGTCTGTCAATATTTGACATACGTATTTATATGCTCCTATTTTGGGTGCATAAATGTTTAAAAGAGATACAGCCCTTTGCTGGGTTGATCTCTTTATCTCTATCAAATGACATCCTTTGTTTCTTTTTACAGCATTTGTTTTAAAGTCTATTTTGTTCGATACAAATACTGATGCCCCATCTTTTACTTTCATTTTCATCTGCAGGAAATATTGTTCTTCCATCCATTTACTTTCAGTCTGTACATATCTTTCATTCTGAGCCAGATCTCTTACAGGCAACATATGGACAGATCTCTCATTTTCAGCCAGCAAGCCACCCTATGCCTCTTAATTGGTGTGTTTAGTCCATTTGCATGCATTTACAAAGTAACTATTCATAGGTATATACTTACTGCCATTTTATTGTCTTCTGATTGTTTTTCTAGTTCTGTGATCTCTTCTTTTCTCTTGATCTCTTCTCTTCAACATTGATGACATTCTATAGTGTACTTGGATTCCTTTCTCTTTACTGTTTGTGTATCTCTTTGTAGATTTTTGGTCTGTGGTTAGGATGTGTTTCCTACATCTCCCACTATGTTGATAGCAGCCTATTTTAAGTTGATGGTTGCTTATATTCTAACACATTCTAAAATCACTACATTGTTTTACTCAAGCCCTTTGCATTTATGCTTTTGCCGTTATTTCTACTTCTTTTGGTTGAGCGTGTTGGTGTGTATTCTTTAATTTGTTGTTGTAATTCCACGTGATCCTGGCACCCTTGGGATTATTGAAAAGTTCTGTTTTCCTTTATATCTAAGGCTTATAAAAAGATGAGAATCAACTAGTAAACCTCTAAGACAGATAGAAATAAGTAAAGCAAGTTGTAAAAAACATTATCACACTGTGGTGTGGCCAGAGCATTCTGGACAGCAACTTCACAATATTCTCTAATGTTCACTTAAAAATTTCACTCTCTTCCTTTCTTTTACAAGTCCATTATGAAGTACCACACATAAGGCTCCAGTTGGATACAACCTAAATGCCCATCAACAGAAAAATGATTACAGTACACCCATACTTAAAAACAGCAGAAAATATACCTCAACAAAATGAAGGCCATATATGACAAACCCACAGCCACAGAACAACATATTCAATGTGCAAAATCTGAGTGTTTCCCTTAAAACAAGGAACAAGACAGAGATATCTGCTTTTAACACTCTTACTCAACATAGGACTGGAAGTCTTAGCCACAGAAATTAGACAAGAAGAAGAAATAAACGGCGCCCAAATTGGAGAGGAGGAGGTAAAACTGTCACTATTCACAGATGATGTGATACTGTAAATAGAAAACCCTAAAAACTCCACCAAAAAGCTACTACACCTAATAAACAAATGTGGCAAAGTAGCAAGATACAAAATTATTATTCAGAAATTGGTGGCATTTCTATACACCGATAACTATAAGAAAGAGAAACCAAGAAAGCAATTCAATTTACTATTATTGCAACAACAAAAATCAAGTGCCTGGGAATAAATGTAACCAAGGAGGTAAAAGACCTGTACTTGGAAAACGAGAAGACACTGAAGAAAGAAACTGAGGAAGCTACAAGTAAGTGGAAGCATATGCCATGTTCATGGATTAGAAGAATTAACATCATTAAAATATCCATACTATCCAAACTAGTCTATAGATTAAACACAATTCCTATTAAAATATCAACAGCACAATGCACAGATCTGGAAAAAATACTCCAAAAATTTATATGGAACCAAAAAGACCACAAAGAGCCTCCGCAATCTTGAAGGAAAAGAACAAACTTGGAGGTAACACAATACTGATATGAAACTACACAAGGCCACTGTAATCACCACAGCCTGGTACTGGCATAAGAACAGGCGTGTAGATCAAGGGAACACAACAGACAGTCCAGAAATCAACCACGCCTATATGGTCAAGTAATATTCGACACAGGAAACAAGAGCATAAAATGGACGAAAAGCAGTCTCTTCAACCAATGGTGTTGGGAAAACTGGACGGGTACATGAGAAAAATGAAACTAGACTACCAAATTACCCCATACACAAGAATAAATCCAAACTAAATCAAAGACATAAATGTAAGTCAAGAAATCATAAAAATCCTAGAAGGAAACATAGGCAGTAAAATCTCACACAATTCTCACAGCAATATTTTTGCCAGTATGTCTCCTAGGGTAAGGGAAACAAAGGAAAAAATAAACAAATGGAACTATTTAATACTCCAGACTAAAAAGCTTCAGCACAGCAAAAGACACCAACAAAAAAATAAAAAGGGCATCCACTGCATGGGAGAACATATTAGCCAATGATACACTTCCAAATGGGTTACTTTCCAAAACATATAAATAACTTAACACAGATCAACATCACGAAAATAAACAAACCATTTAAAAAGGGTTTGCCATTTAAAAATGGGCACAGGACCTGAATAGACATATCTCCAAGAAGATATAAAGATGGCCAATAAACATAGGAAAAAATACTCAATGTCACTAATCATCAGGAAGATGCAAATTAAAACCACAATGAGATATCATCTCACACCTGCCAGAATGACTACCATCAATATGTCAACAAACAAGTGCAGGACGGGATGTAGAGAAAAGGAGAACCTAGCGCGCTGTTGGTGGGAATGCAAACTGGCATGGCCACTGTGGAAAATAGCATGGAGTTACCTCAAAAAATAAAAAATGGAACTGGCTTTTGACCCAGAGATCCCACCTCTGAGAATATACTTAAGAACCACAAAACACCAATTCCAAAGACTATAGGTACCCCTAATTCATAGCAGCATTATTTACAATAGCCAAGATCTGGAAACAGACCAAGTGCCTATCAATAGGGAAGCGAATGAAAAGCTCTGGTACATTTACACAGTAGAATACTATGCAGACCTACAAAGAAGGAGAATTACAGAACGGAGAATGGTTGGACCTGGAGACTATTACGCGAAGTGAAGTAAGCCAGTCAGAGAAAGGCAAATACTACAAGCTTGTATGTGAGTCTCATTAACAAAAGAAACTGATGAATAAAATAAAAACAGAGGCGTGCATACATGGAACAGCTATCAGGGGGAGGAGGGACTGGATGAAAGAAGGTGAAGGAATTAGCCAAAGAACATATGCACATAACCCAAATACAGAAAACAGTGTGGTGATGGCCAGAGAGAAGGGGGTTTGGAGGTTGGGTGGATATGGGCAAAAAAGGAACAAAATGGGGACATCAGTATAGTGTCAACAATAACAATAAAGTAAAAAAAAAAAGAAAAAAGATAGCAGATAACCAAAAAGAAAACAAAACTAATTTAAATAAACAAACAAACAGAAAACTAAGGCCTTGGCCAGGTGGCTCAGACGGTTGGAGCGTTTTCCCGTACACCAAAAGGCTGCCAATTCCATTCCCGTTAGGGCACATTCCAGGGGTGCCGGTTCAATCCCCAGGCAGGGTGCATATGGGAGGCAACCGATAGACGTGTCTCTCTCACATCGATGGTTCGCTTTCTCTTTCTCTCTCATTCTCTCTCCCCACCTCGTCCTCTCTGTCTAAAATCAGTGAAAGTAGCCTCCTATGAGGATTCCAAATACCAGGTAAAGAGTAGGGTAAATCCACATATACTGAGATGCAAACAAATTAAGTCATAGTGGTAGTTGGAAAGAAACAAAGTACAAAAGAATGTGTATGGTATAATGATATTACATAGGGAAAACCCCCACAACACAAATTCCTATGTTTATGGGGGAGATACACTTCAAGCCTATAAAAGTTCTTATACGGGGGAGGGGTACGATCGGGTATGGAAAAGTTTGGAGTGCTCTTGCTTTGTCTGCTTCTTTGTGTTTTTAAATAAGAAGTCTATATTCACATATCACATGAGTGTTCTTTGAAAAATGGAAAGCATTATAAATAAAGAAAACCAATATACTTAGACAAATAAGAACTTGAAAACAATTCTGAGTTGGAAAAAACAAAGTATTTACATGTGTAAACACTTTAACATCTCACACGGCACAAAAAATTACCAGTAACTAAAAAATAATAATTAGAAATATCCATTTTGATAATTTCTTTGTCTTGGCCGAGTTATCTTGAATTGTACTGTGCCGTATGTCAGTTTTTTAAAAACTATCACTACCTTAAGTTTCATAAATACTTAGACAGTATATCTTATAGGGATCATTTTACAGAGGATAAAACTGAGAGTTGAAGGAAGTGTGTGAGGTTAGTAGACCTGAGCTCATGTAAATCTGTGCAAATTTGTAGCCCACCAGCTTTTGCTATACCACGAGACCCCCTCCCCCCACCACCTTGTGGTCTTTAATTTCTTAGCGAAAAACAGCAGTTATAACTTACTGAGTTGAAAACATAAGACTTTTCTCCAAAGAGCCTGTTGGCAGTTCTAAGCAAGTACTGCGTGCCAGTCCTGTTAACCTCAGTGAGAAGTGACTGGAAACCCTGGTGGACATCTTCACCTTCGCCTCCACTTTTACTTAAACAAAGTGCCTGAAATAAAAATTAAAAAAAAACAACACAGGATAAAAAATGTTCAACTTCAGTATGTTTGGACTTCAGGAAACTGGATGCAACACTAAACTCTGCCTAAGAATTGGACAGGTCCTCACGACAGCTTAAAAGAAGATTCATTCAATTAAACACAGAAAGTAACTTGAAAGCCACTCTATCCCTATAATACTTCCTGCACCGAGTCAGAGCCCTGTCTGCGTTGGCAGGAGAAGAAATGCCCCTCGCAAACCCAGGCTCTGGGTGCTCAGCACTTGTAGTCTGCCTGCAAACAAGGCTGTCCACCTGGCCTTCCTTTCCATGTAAAGACAGGCCAGTCCTGATACCAAAAGGTGCAGCCTCTCCCCCGGTCCTGGGTCCAGACTGGCCCTGTGATTGCTCTAACCAGAGAACGCAGGAGAAGCGACGCTTGAAAGGCCTGGCAGCCCCACAGTCGTTCTCCTGTACCCGGCCACCATCGTGTGAGGAAGCTCGAGCTGTCCTGCGCAGGTCTCGCAGAAAGCCCTGGAGAGCGACGCCACGTGAGGGAGCTGCTTATAGAATGGCGGCCTCAGCCAACAGCCAGTACCAAGGCCCCAGGCATGTGATAGAGGCTTTTTTTGGCTCACGAGTGACCCCAGCTGGCACCCTGGGGTCAGCCCACAAAATCTGAAAAATTCTGTCGTTCAGGCCACTTACTGTACCCACTGGGTCCTATTTTCTGATGGCAGCTCTAGCAGTCTGAGACACCTCCCCCCACAATATTTAAAGGCCATGTCCACTGCAGTTTTCCCTCCCTGTGTCACCACTGCACATTGAGGGGTGAGGGGACAATAATTTGTCTGTAGCTCACCAAGCTCTGCACCCAGGAACCACACTGACTAGCCCGATGGTCCTGTTCCTCCTAGACTTCAAGCCCGAGTGTGCCCCACGATGGAATTAGACTCTGGGGTCTTGGGAGGGTTAAGTGTATCTTACCTACGGGAGGGCTGGGAACCATAAGGAGCCAGAAGGCAGACCACGGCACTCAGGGAGGGGCCCTGAGGAGCTATGCCTCCGGTCCTCATGCCCTGGACAGCCCCTCTGGGGGCAGACTCTGGCCATGTCTTCACTGGCTTCAGTGAGCAGGGCATGAGAAAGCGGGACAGAGCGGAGGCTTGATAAGTCCTCGCACATTCAAGCTGGTCCTCTTGTCCGCTGGACACTGTCCTGTGAAGATGCCCAGCCTACCCTGCCAAAGAGACACCATGCGGGAGGCCTCGGGGCCAAGGCAGCCCACGGAGAAGGCCACCTGGAGGGAAGGGGCCTGAGGCCCCACGCCAGTGACTCAGCAGAGCCAGGTGGAACATAGGCACCGCCCAATCCACCAGAGCAAATCTTCATCTTAAGCGCTAAGTGTTGGGGTGGTAGTTACTCAACAACAAACAACTGAAACGCCTCTGAATGGTTTTACGGTTAAATAAGAAAATTAAACCACAGTTTTTCACAACTGAAAAGCATCTGACAATACCCAAAGACTAGCACAGGACTCAACCCGGACCTTGTGGCTTTGTATCTCCTCACAAACTCCCATTCACGCCACTCCCAGCGGGTGGTGAAATTACTCATTCTCCTGACTAGAGGGTGCCACTCCACCCCTAACAGGCAGGGGTGCTCCCCACAGGGCTCTTGCACAGGGCGAACATGTCCCTGCCTGGCAGCATTTTACCCACACCCCTGCAACACTACCAGAGAGTCAGTCCTTTGGGATCTGAAAGGTAGAGGAACAGTTAACTGAAAAAGTAATAGTGTTACGGTTGTCCAGGAATTGCTTCAGACACGTACCTGGACCATCTGGGCAGCCGTGTTTCCCTTTGCCCCCAGGAGGACCATGGCCAGGGCAGAGGAGATGCTCATGGGCGAGAAAAACACATTTTTGGAGTTGCCTTCACCCAGCTTTCTCAAAAGGTTCAAGGCAAAAGTGCCATTTGCTTCCGCCAGAGTATCCATGATGCTGAGTCTGAAACAATGGACGTAAAATCAGTATCACATAGATATAGGCTTACACGTTGACTGCAATTCACTATGCTAATAGTTACCAATGACGCTTTGGGTCAACCAGCAAATAGGTACACAACCGAAACTCCTTCTTTGGGGCAAACCTCAACATTATTTTGTGTTTCTAATATGAAGTAAAAAGAAAATTCAAGTTATGTTTATATTATGATCCCAGTTTGTGGGGGAGAAAGAAGGGGGACTTATACCTGTATACTTGTGTGCGAGCCCAGAAAAAGCGTGGAAAGATACACAGTCAACCACTTACCCTAGGTATTTCCTCACAGACAGATTAGAAAAGGAGTTACTGGCTTTTGTTTCCGCTTCTGAATTGTTTGGTGTGCTGTACGGGCTTATAGGTGTTACTTTATAACTGAAGAATCATTCCTAATGATAAATCCAATCACGAAGTAACATAGGAAAAGAGAGCTGAATGTTTTTATGATGTAGAAGAGAAGGCTCCATCTTAGGGTACCCTGAAGCCTTCAGATAAAAGAGATGTAAGATGTTGTACAAGAAATGGCGTCAGCTATAGATGAAGGGGCTGGGAGAAGCCAAAGCAGGGCCAACTCTGGGCTAGGCACAGAGTCGGCAAGGAGGCGTCTGCTCCTGTGGATTAGCTGTGGACTGGCTACGGCATTTATAAAGAGCAAGTCGAGGCTCCGGAGGTCAAGATAGCGGAGGCTCCTGGGATTTGAGGGCTCCTGGCTAGTCCCTCTGCTGGATAATCTTGGAAATAACCACCTGGAAATTAATCCTAAATTCCAACACAGGATACACAGGGTAATGGGCAGGCTCTTGTCAGAGCTGGCCTGGAGCTATTAACAGGCTAACTGTTCTGTCTCTCTCACTCTGTGACTGCTGTCATTTTAATTTAGAACATCTCAAAATTTTTCTTGACACAAACAAAGCTGCAAGACAGGCTGAACTCGGGGCCAATGCCCTGTCTCTGGACTGCTACCCTAAAAGTCGTCACTCCAGAGAGAGCCTGAAGGGTGTGCCGGGAGGAACCAGGAGGGAGGACAGGGGCAGCGAAGGGCCTCTCAGTCAGGAGTTGCAGATACAGCAGAGCTGGTCGGGAGGGAGGGGTCTTTGAGGGAACAGCACTTTTAAAACATTTCCCAAACTAGTATTTCCAGGGCTACACAGTAGGGAAATGACTCACCTGAGAGAGTGCGTGGGAATCTACAGAACAACAAAAGAGGAAAGCAAGAGCAGCAGTTTTGGGGTGTGAAGGGAGGTATCTACCTGAAAGACCTGTGAAGACTGTGGAGCCAACCCATTCTTCCCCAGCTCGCCTTTACATTCCTAACTGCGATCACTGAATAACATAATGGCCCCAAAACTGTGAAGGGGACCAAGGTTTCGCCACACGGAAGCGGCCTTTTGGGATATTAATTTTAAGCTGGTTATTAAGAAACAAAAGACTCAGAAAGAACCTCTGGCCTTCCCCCTTTTCTGTGTAACAGATGCAGATGGAAAGGCCTGCTTTGGGAAGGAAAGGGAAGGCGTCCACCTTAGCCTAATTCGAATTAAGTATGACATGTAGGAAGGTACCAAGCAGGGGCCTGGTAGCTGCATCGCCCCATGTCCCCTGGAGGCAAAAATCTGCCTGCCAGGTGTGTTTGGCTCCTCCTCAATTACCTGGAAATGGTCCATTCCCACTTCTGAAATCTAAGAACCCATCACCCAACCCCTTCTCCTTTGTCTGAAATCACACACATACCAAATTTTGCCTCATTGTCTTGGGAGTTTTTGTGCTTATGCGAATTCCCCGTGCACTTGTATTAAAGTTTGATTTTCTCCTGTTACTCTGTCTCTCTTGATTTGGCTATTAGCCCAGATAGAAGAACTTACAAGGTGGGAAGTATTAATTTGTTTAGCTCCCACACAGTTCTCAGTTGAGAATGACTGCTGATAGCCTCTAAAGGTGAAACTATATTCATGGTCTATAAAAATTGCGGAATAAGTTAAGAAACAATAAATCAACAATGCCTTGGAGGTTTATCCAAGATATGCATGATAATCATTTAGGAGAAAATACGTTCACTGTAAAATAACTGGATAGTCCTCTTACAATAGCGGTCCTTACACAGAAAATACTGCTACACTTCCTTAACTGACAAAGATTACCTCCTTCAGCAGCCATCATCGTCAATGATAAAATATTAGAGGAGGTTCTCTTGTGTCCCAAACAGATACATGATACTGACATCTGTTATCTGATACTTCCGTAACTTTGTTTTACTAGCTCTGGCCAAGGCAAAAAGAACTCATGAAACATAATTAGAAGGAAATTTATCAGCAATAAAACAAAATAAGCATAATTAGTAACTTATGTGATGGTCTACTTGAAAAGCAGCTCCGGCCAATAAAATACTCTTTTTTTCCCAGTTATAAAGATTTTATTTATTCATTTTTTTAGAGAGAGGAGAAAGAGGGAGAAAGAAAGGGAGAGAAACATCGACTAGTTGCCTCTTGTACGCCCCCAACTGGGACCTGCCCTGCAACCCGGGCACATGCCCTGATTCGGAATCTAACCAGTGACCTTACAGTTCAAAGGCGGGCGCTCAATGCACTGAGCCACAGCAGCCAAGGCATGATATACTCTTCAATTAGATAAGACAATGCAGTAAAATGGGCTCCAAAAAGTTTATTAAACAAACAAAAACTGCAGTAGAAATATGTACCAACGATAGTAGCCTATTTACCAAAAAAAAAATGAAATAAAATACAAATTTTAAAAGATAAACAAAAGAAAAGCAGCCCTGACCAGTGTGGCTCAGTTGGTTGGGCGTCATCCAAAGCGAAGGGTCACCAGTTCGATTCACGGTCAGGGCACATGCCTGGGTTGCCGGTTTAGTCCCCAGACAGAGCTCATGCAAGAGGCATCCAATCGATGTTTCTCTCCCTCTCTTTCTTCCTCTTTTCCCCTCTCTTTAAAAATAAATAAAATTTTTTTAAAAAAGAAAAGGAAAAACTATAGCTAATGATTATATTAAAAAGTTTGAACTTCAGAAAAATACACTTTTTGGAGTATATCCTATGCACTAGATCCTATGTTAGCACCTTTCCTAAAAGATCCTTACAACCCTGTGAGGCAAGTTGCGAATGTCAGCATTTGGCAAGCAAAGAAATCAAGTCTTAGTTCTTTAAGAGTCTTGTCCCTGCAGCCACAGGCCTACAAGTCGCAGAGAGAAGGTTAGACACCAGGTGTGTGTGACTCTGGAGTTCACTCTCTGAATCACTATGGCACACAGCCATCTAAAATAAAAAACTTTCTAAAAGAGGAAGTGGAAAATTCACTAAAGGTAAAACTCAGACAAAATTACTGTTAGCTTACACAGCTAAGAGTTAAGGGAAGAGAAGAGAGCTAGATCTTCTGGGCCAGAATGAGTCTGGGAGTTACGCTTTAATCAGGCTTAAGTCTGCAAGTTATAGCTTTAGACACCACAGGGGACTAAGAGGAACACCCCTCCATCCTCTGTGCAGGCAAGAAGGACCCACTTTGCAAACTCCCTGCGCAAGGCGGGGTTGGGGGAGGGGTGGGTGGGCAGGCAACTGGCCCAGTAGCCAGGAATTACCAAGGCTGAAAGATAGAACAGCTCAGGACAGGCTTTTGCTAGGCGCCTGCGCAGTAGAAGACAAGCAGCCACTGTGGAATTTTGGGGCATGTGCAGTGGCAGCCAAAATGTCACATAAAAGGGTGGAATCTAGCCTGGGAGTATCTGGCAAAAAAGGATACGAGTGGATGAGGACATGAAACCCTAGAGCATCCAGGAGAGGGGACTGCTTGAGAAAAGGGCCCACCACAAGCCCAGGAAAACCGAGAAAACAGGGTGAACAGTCTGAAAGCAAGCCTGCGTGCTCCCCAAAACCAGGGAAATATAAGGATTATCGGGAATCTCAGAGCAGTTGCTACTAGAGACTGCCCATCCTCTACATCCCCAAGGGCATATCATTCCTCTTCACCCCAATAAATACTGCCACTGCGCTTAAACTTCTCCCACACATATGCTCTTTGAGACTCCTTTCTCGCGGCACCGCAAGAACCCATTTTCACTGACAACAATACCAAGCACAAAAACTATTAGGTATTTCATAAGCCACAGACTTCAAAGAAGAAAATCTTTAAATGCCCTGAAACAGAGAGCCACTTAGGTTTTGTAACATTTAAGCATTTAAGGTAGGATATTAATGGAAATATTAATTTTAGTTATTATTTAATATCAAAGAAATAAAATTAAATTGAAAATCTATATAAAACTATAAATATAATTTCAAAATATTATCTATGTAAACTAAATTAGGTAAGAAATGTATATATCACCGTAATTTATAGATAGAGAATGAAAGGAAATATGCACACCAAATGTTTCTCGGTCACATTTTCATGTTTTTATATTCTGCATTTTTCACATTGTCTACAATATGCCTAATTCTTTTTAGGAGGTTGGTTGATTTTTATTTCTATGAAATTACTATATTTGCTCTTAGCTTAAAAATCAGTGCCAAAGAAGATACTACAAATGAGAACAGGTTCTCTTACCCAAGGCCCTGTTCTTTCCCCATCTGTGGCTTTCTTTATAACTCATAATGCATTTCCTTTCTTTCCCTTAACACTGATTTTCCTTACGTTGATATTGCCTCTCCCCACCCCATTTCTCTAGTTTTCTGAGTACGTGCAGCAACTTTCCCCAAATGTTCTACATGTCAAACCTTTTCACATGCTCAGATACAAGGAATAATCTACCAGCTCCCTTTTCCTCTCCCGCAGTCTCTCCCCCTGCTGGTGAAGGAAGGCATTTTCATTTTCAAAGAGGAATTTTCATAAACAGGAAATGGCGTTGCCCACTAAAATACTTTAGTTAACTGTCAGTTGTCAGTCTGATGAAAATAGTGTTTTCTCAAACAAAGCATACTGCTTACACAACAAAGAAATTATTCTTTTAAAAATTTAAGCATTGGTTACATACAGTATTAGAATAGACAGTGTAATGCTGTTAACACCTTTTAAAGCAAACATAAATTTCAACCAACCTTAGTAAACATTTAAACTTCTATAAACCTAATAAATCAAGACTTACAAATCTAGTAAGCAAGAATCATCTAAGACCTTCAAACATGTTTAAAAACACAAAAAAGACTATACAATTATCACAACACTTATTCTATACCTGCACTTTTTAGGTCCAGCACAAAGGCATTAATGCCATGGGTTTTATTTACTTTATCTTTGTTATATCTTGGTATACCTTTCCCAAGGTGTTAGTAATCCTTATTTTGGGGTCTTTGTGCTCTCCCAGCTGCCCCTTGAGCCCAGCACTCATTGATAGCTAAGGACATTCGAGTAGGTTAGGACAGTTTTATGATTCCAATTCCCCATTCACCGAGATTTCACAGGGCCTCAGGCAAACACCAGATTTCAGTGTCTTGTAACGCAGTGTCTTTCCTTAAAATAAAGAATTATTTCAGTTTTCCTCTGTCTGGGTTGTCTAACTTGGTTATATAATTTGGCTCTAACACTTTCAGTTTAGATTTTAGGCCCCCAGATCATTTGAGTGACTACTGTGCTGGCTGGCCTGGGAAACTGGAAAAGCCAAACTGTTCATGTCGCAGTCACAGGCAGGTCATCACATAGCATTTCCTGGAAGCTCAGTGAGATTCTTCTGTGCCTTTTAAAGCGGATCTTCTTTGCCACATCTGAACTTACTAACAGACCCATGGGTTTTTACAGATAATATATCTCAATTAGCTGATGTTTGTTTTCTCCTTGGTTCTCAAAGTGTCACAACTGGGATGCTGGGGTTCTCTTTTAATTGGTTACTTTTTCTTGGGATGTAGTGATCTCAAACGTCCTTGTATTACAGCAACAACAAGGTCTTACACACTCAGTACGAGTTCTTCACCAGTACAAAGACACAGCTGTCAGCGGCTGTCCTGGCCTTGTTTGGTTTTTTTTAAAATAGAGGAGTTGTAAAGTACAAGATCTGGCGCCTCAGGGAACTTACAAGTTTTTCTTGGTGCTTTTCTTGGGTCACCCCCGTCACAAAGCTGGATAGAGGTTTCCCTTCAAGTACCTAGTATGTCATGCTGTTGAGAAGGACCAAAGCTTTGCCTCGCAAAGTATGCTGTTCGGGATACTGATTTTTAAGATGGTTGTTAAGAAACAAATGACTCAGGAAGACCCTTTGAATCTCCTCCCTCTACCTGCCTGTAGGAAGTCACATATAAAATCCTGCTAAAGGAAAGTAGCATCATCTTAGCATCAAAATATAGACTAAAAGTGGCAGGGAATAAATCCAGCAAAGCCTGTCTGTTGTACTCCCCTGTGTGCCCCAGTATCTCTGGATGGCCCTGCAAGAAGTTGTGTTTGTTTACCACTTATTTGCTCTTTCTCACCTACCTTAAATTGCCTGCTTTCCCTTTATAATCCCAGACCCCTGCCTCCCTCATCTCACATAAAAAACCTTAAAAAAATGTATGCACTAGCAGGAAAACTAAGTATTCAGAGTTTTTTTTAAGAAACAAGTTTATATGTGAATGTGTGCATGTGTGTGTGTGTATAACAAGTCTAACAAACCTTAGCACCATTTTCCCTTGTAGTTTACTAGTGACTTTGAATAGTTAATGTTCATAATTGATTTTATCCAATTGACCTGACCCAAGCTTAATAATTTTTTAAAGGTGTTACTAATCGTGCCTCTTTCCTTCCCGGATTAAGGATGTCTTAATCTCCCACAAAATTTCACTATTTAAAGATTGGTTCAATGGAGACTTGGGCTCCTGCTTTGTCCCTACCTTTGTTTTCGGGGGGGAGGGGTTACTTCTCTGAGCAGCAGTTATGTAATATCCTAACAGAGGATGATTCCTTCTACTTTACAGGTTTACTATAAACATCAAATAAACGAATGTCTTGCACACAGAGGGTAGTCAATAAATGGTGGGTAAGTTATACATTATTTTCTTTCTTCTGATATCTAGGCCTAATCTCAGGTCCAGCAAACTTGGCAATGTAAGGTGTGTGATCTTCCCCCATCATACAATCTATGCTTGGTGTGATATAGGGTGTTCTTAGTATGAACCAGCAATTTTCAACTTTTCTCATCTCATGGCACATATAAACTCATAAAAATACATACATTTTTTTCCAATCTGACAAAAAAACAAAGGTATAGTTTGGGTTCACGTAGAAAGAAAAAATGACACAATTACTTAACTTTCTGCTCCAAAGTGACTTTTTTAAAAATCATGTGCCTATATTTGCATATAAGGATGTCTGATACCAAAAATTAACCAATCAGACACAACCTTATTATGAGATGTCACCAAGAAGATGCAACTCTATTTATTATATGACCTATGTACTTTTGGTTCAAGACAGGACATTCACACCGCAGGAGTATTGTTGTGCTGGCTGTTGTCATTTTTCATTTGACAAGCTGAGGGAAAAAGAGGTCAGTGCCCCTGACCAAATATGAGGGCGGGGTGGGGGGGCCCTCCAAGAAAGGAATTTATTTTTAAAAAATTGTGCATTTCTTCTTACATGTTTACACCTCAGTCACCTTCCCAATACTCTCCACTTCATGCAATACACCTATCGGGACTTTTTTCCACTGCCCAAAACTGTTTTTGAACTCATAGATATTGATGTCTTTCAATGCTGCTGTTTTTTCTTTTTTTTTTTTTAAGATTCTATTTACTTTTTAGAGAGATGGGAAGGGAGGGAGTAGGAGAGGGAGAGAAACATCACTGTGTGGTTGCCTCTTGCGCACCCACTGCTGGGGACCTGGCCCGCAACCCAGGCATGTGCCCTGGCTGGGAATCAAACCAGTGAACCTTTGGTTCGCAGGCCAGTGCTCAATCCACCGAGCCACACCAGCCAGGGCCTTTCTTTTTTTTCCTGCTGATTTTTTTCTTTCGTCTCTTGCATACTGGCACAAAAAAATACTTGCTAGGGGCCAGATTGGGTGAATAGGGAGGGTGGGGCACAGGGGCCATGCTGTTTTGGTCAAAAACTGCTGAACACTCAGCAGGGCATGGGCAGGTCCACTCCTAAATCATCACTAAGAAGGTCTTCAGAAAAATTCACTGAAGCTTAACGCAGCCTCTCACAACAATGTCTGCTAGTACACAGATACAAGTGGGTCCCACTACAAGGGTCCCACTCTCCAGAACATAATTCTGCTTTTTGGGGGCTCCCCCCTGCCCCCGCGTACTCAGATACTGCATATTTTAACAATAGTCGCAGCACACCCAGTTCAAAATCACTGGTATAAACTGACAAGAAGGGTGATTCCATTTGTTCTAATCCCACTCTTCTGTTACTGGCAGGAGTTAACTCTAATATGCTGAATCGTAATAAAATGACTTGGATCGGAATTGGCCTCGTATAATTTTAAATACTTAGTCTCCTGGCCCCAAGTATGACGAAATTGCACCCTTTCTTCCTGTCTTGGCATAAAATGATGTAATTACTCATTAGTCAGGAAACACTGCAACACACCCCGTATTACTGATAACCGCAGTCATTCATTCATCCATGTTATCACTGTGCACACTACTTAGCCCCAGCAACACGACGCTGCATTACTTTGTTCCAAAGGGTACCTTTGACATCCTCATCTCACCTTATCAGTTATAAACCGCAGGGAAGAGGAAACAAGCAGGCTTGACTCATATCCCTGTCATCAGGTACGGCTGGGCCCAGGGAGTCCCAGCACTGACCCAGCTTACCTCAAGCAGTTGAGTATTCCTAGCAGCGTTTGAATTTAATTTGTTAGGCCTCTCATTTCCTAAGCTTGAGATGGAGGGAGAGGAGGGGAAAGAAAGTAGCTCAAGTACCAATTACTTCTAGCACCACGAACCCCACGTATAATTACAAGTTCCCCAAGTCCTCTTAGCCCTGAACACACCAAATCAAGTAATATTTTGCTTGCAGTAAGTTTAATAAAAAGCAGAAAAGTAACCATATCTGGAACGGTCCTCACTTTCATCTACGCAGGCCTGAGTGACCTCGACAGAGCAGAATTTGCAAACCTCCTGAGCACAAGCCACACCCAGTGAACAAGGCCAAGGCCTATAGGCCAGAAGCCAGGAGCCCTGCTTTTGGAAGCGAGCGCCGGGCTTCTCAGCACACCCCGCCCTACCACGCCCACTCTTCCTCACTCCGCTATCCCCACCGGTCCCCAACGACGGGCTCCTGCTGCGCGCGCCCGCGGCCTCACGGCGGCGGGGCTGCCGTGATCCCTTGTGGTCGATGGACTCGCGGGGTAGTTTGTATCCCGGGGTGGCCGGGCGTCACCTGCGGCCCAGGGGCCCCACGCAGCAGCCGGGGAGGCTCGGCACCGCCCCCATGCCCCCAGCCGCCTCCCTTGAGGACGCGAGGCAAAGCTGGTCTGTCCGTAGGAAGCTTGGCGCGTCAAGGGCCGGCAGCCGCCAAGCACAACTCACCAAGTGGCGTCACGGTACCTTGCTACCACTGGGCTCCTTTTCAAGGGAACCCGAGCCGCAGCACCCTTCTCCTACCCTCAGTCTAAGGACCGCCCTGCGAGCTCGCCTCCACTCCCTGACTCCAGCGCTTGCCTTGCTTCCCAGTGGGTTCCGCACCAGACCCGTACTCTCTTGTCTGCGATGCCGCAGGAGTGAGCGAAGCAGCACCAGAGAGGACTGGAGCCGCTCCGGGCCTCTAATAACGATGGGGCCAGGGGGCGGGCCGAGTCGGGAGAGCGAGCCAGAGCACCACCCAAGCTGGAGTCAAGTTCCGCCTTCCTTGGTCGCGGCTGGGAGGAGGGTGGTGCAGGAATGTAACCAGATGGGTGCCTGGTGCCCTTCTACCGCTCACGGGGAAGGAGCTAGGCGGATCCGCACGCTCCGGGTGCGCTCCCCCTGCGGGAGGGACCTCGAATCCTTTCAGGTCGTAGTTACAATCACCTCGCCCACTGAATCACCGGGGAGTCTAATCAAAGGCCTGCCTCCCCCGAGGTTTTCCATCCGGAGGCAACACACAGTACACCACCCCAGCAGTGTTATGGTGGCTTGGTAGAAACTGTATATTATGTCCTCAGTGACCAGAGAAGTGCTGGCTCCTGGTACATTCACTTGAGTTTTGACACTGCAGCAGACAAATTTAAAATGAACAAAGCCTACGCGATCCTCTTGTGTATTCGAAGACTCCAGTACTCCTCTGCACCGTGTGAATTACACTGATAAATTACGCAAACATTATGAAATCGTGACTTGCCCTCAAGTCTCCTATCTTCGGGACTCCTATAGGTTGAAATTAAATTTGGTTTTCTCCTCTTAACTTGTCATGTCAACTCAATTATTTTATCAGCCAAAGCATCTAACCAAAGGCAGGCAATTGAGGCTTATTGCCATCCTGAGCCAAGCAATGGGATGGAGGCCTGGGCCTTCAGAAGGAAGGAGGGCAATTCAAAGGCAAAGATAAGGAGGGCAGATGTTTGATTATCAGATGCTGGCCCTGTGGCAGAGGTGGTAAGTCTTTTGAATGGAAAAGTTACCTCTGGTAATTGCTACCTTTTGGGCCAGGCTCTCTATTTAAATTCTTGTAGGCAGGTAAGGGAGAAGGAAAAGTTTTCCCTAAATATCCTGGGTCTCCACTTTCTTTAGCACAACATAATCCACGTGCCGAAGTGGCACAATTTGGGGAGGCACACTCTGCTTCCCTCCAGATCATACTGCATTTTACCCCGTGGTGAATCAACATCTGCATATTTATTTAGTTGTCCTATCCAAGAACATGATGAATATTTGCTCTTTTATTTTTCCTTCTCAGGAGTGTTCTTTTTATTTTATGATTTTTTAATTTAATCTTTATTGTATTTTTTTCCCATACCATTTAGTCCCCTAATACCACCCTCCCCCCAGCAGTCACCACACTATTGTCTGTGTCCATGAGTCCTTTTTCCTTTTTGATCCATCCCTACAGCCCCTAACTGCCCCCTCCCTAACTACCTATCATCTGCTTTCCACCTGTGAGTCTTTGTTTTGCTTCTTAGTTGAGTTCGTTCATTAGATTCCACGTATGAGTGAAATCATACGGTCTTTGTCTTTCTCTGACCGGCTTATTTCACTTAGCATAATGTTCTCCAGGTCCATCCATACTGTTGCAAAGGGTAAAATTTTTCTCCTTTTTTACAGCTGAGTAGAATTCCATTGTGTAGACGTCCCGTAGTTGTTTTACCCACTCACCCATTGATGGACACTTGGGCTGCTTCCATATCTTGGCAATTGTAATTAATGCTGCAATGAACACAGCGATGCTTATGTTCTTTCAGATTAGTGTTTTGGGTTCCTTCAGATATATTCCCAGAAGTGGGATCGCTGGGTAAAATGACATCCTTTTTTAATTTTTTGAGGTATCTCTGTACTGCTTTCCACCGCGGCTGTACCCGTCTACACTCCCAGACAGTGCAAAAGGGTTCCCCTTACTCCACATCCTCGCCAACATTTGTTTGCTGATTTATTGATGACAGGCATTCTGACAGATGTGAGATAGCAGCTCATCCTCGTTTTAATTTGCGTCTCTCTGATGATTAGTGACACTGATCAACTTTTCATATGTCTATTGGCCATCTGTATGTCCTCTGGAGAAGTGCCCATTCAGGTCCTTTGATCATTGTTTTAAAGTTTTCTTGATAGCCCTGCCCATGTAGCTCAGTTGGTTGGCTATTCTCCTGGCAAAGCAAAAGGTTGTGGGTTCAATTCCCAGTCCAGGCACATGCCTGGGTTGCCATCCCTGGTCGGGGCACATACAGGAAGCAAATTGGTTGCCTCTTATATACAGTCTGACCAGGGGATTGAACCCTCAATCTAGGTATGTGCCCTGATCAACAATCGAACCTACAACGTTTTGGTGTATGGGACGATGCTCCAACCAACTAAGCCACACCGCCCAGGGCTCTCCCTCTCCTTCTCCCTCCCTTCTCCTCTTTCTATAAATTAATAGTTAAAATATTTTTTAAAAATAAATATCAAGTTTCCTTTATACAAGATTTGCACATTTTATATTTAGTTTTTCCTAGTTATTTTCTTTCTGTGATATTACAGGTTAAAATTTTTCTTCCATTTTATTTATTTATTTTTTTTTGGTTTGTATATGAAAAAATGAACTGTTTTTACATATTACTTTATAGTTTGGTGCCTTGCTGAATTTCCTATTTGTTTTAGCTTTTTCTTCCTTGATTCTTTTGAGTCCTGCAGCAACACATCACTGCAAATTCAAATAGCTGAATTTCTTCTTCCAGTTTCCATACTTTTGTTTTCTTCTGTTTGATTGCATTGGCTAACACCTCCAAGGGAGTAAATTACTTAACCAGTTGTGTTGTTAATACTTACAAAATAAAAAGTGTGCAAAGAAGCCAGTATGGCTTCGCAAAAGAACAAGCCATTCTTAACCTCATTTGCTGCAGGGAAGCAATGAACTTCAGGGTGCATATGTGCTTTAAGTTTTTGGTTTCTTTGGTTTTTTAAGTGTTTTTGGTTTTTTTAAATATATTTGCAAAAGTAGACCTGCTGGGTCATAAGGAAGTTTCATTTTCAATTTTTTGAGGTACCTCTATACTGCTTTCCACCATGGCTGCACCAGTCTGCATTCCCACCAACAGGGCATGAGGGTTCGCTTTTCTCCACATCCTTGCCAGCACTTGTTGTTTGTGTATTTATTGATGACAGCCATTGTGACAGTGAGAGTATCTCTTGTTGTGGTTTTAATTTGCATCTCTCTGATGATTAGTGATGCTGAGCATTCTTATCATATGTCCATTGGCCATCCCTATGTCCTGTTTGGAAAAGTATCTATTTGGGTTCTTTGCCCATTTTTAAATAGGAATACTTGTTTTTTGGTGTTGAGTTTTGTAAGTTCCTTATAAATTTTGGATATTAAGCCCTTAACAGATGTATTGGTGAATATGTTCTCTCATTGATTGGGTGTTCTCTTTATTTTGTTGATGGTGTCCTCTGTATTGGAAAAAACTTTTAGTTTGATATAATCCCATTTGTTTAATTATTTTGTTTCCCTTGACTGAATAGACACATCAGAAAAATATATTGCTACAAGAAATGTCCAAGATTTTACTGTCTATTTCTCTTGTAGGATTTTTATGGTTTCAAGTCTAACACTCAAGTCTTTAATCCATTTTGAGTTTTTTCTTGTGTATAGTGTAAGAAAATGTTGTAATTTTACTTTTTTGCATGTGTCCAATTTTCACAACATCATTTATTGAATAGGCTATCTTTAATCCATTATGTTTTAGATCTTTTGTGAAGTACTAATTGACTCTAAAGGAATGCATTTACTTCTGGACTCTGTTCTGTTCCATTGCTCTTAATATCTATTTTTATATCAGTCCCATGCTGTTTTAATTACTATGTCCTTGTAGTATAGTTTGATATCAGGCAGCATAATTCCCCCAACTATGTTCTTTCTCAACATTTTTGTGGCTATTCGGGGTCTTGTGTGGTTCCATATAAATTTTTGGAATAGTTGTTCTAGTTCTGTGAAAAATGCTATTGGTATTTAGATAGGAATTGCATTCAATCTATAGATTGCTTTGGGTAGTAAGGTCATTTTAATGATGTTAATTCTTTCCATCCATCAACACAGTATATGCTTCCACTTATTTGTATCTTTTTTATTTTCCTACTTCAGTGTCTTACACTTTTTCGACTGTGGTTCTTTTACATTCTTAAATTTATTCCTAGTTATATATATTTTTGAAGCAATTGTGAATGAGATTTTCGTAAGTTTCTTTTTCCTGATCATTCATTATTGGTGTATGAAAATGCACTGATTTCTGGATATTTGTTTTGTATCCTGCTACACTACTGAATTAATTTATTAGTTCTAGTAGTTTTTTGGTGGCATCTTTAGGGTTTTCTATTTACAATATCATGTTATCTGCAAATAATGACAGTTTTACTTATTCTTTTCCAACTTGAATGCCTCTTGTTTCTTAATCTTGTCTCACTTCTGTAGCTAAGGTTTCCAGTACTATGCTGAATAACAGTGGTGAAAGCAGACATCTTTTCCTGATATTAAGGGAAATGATTTATTTTTTACCCATTGAGTATGCTGTTGGCTGTAGGCTTCTCATACATGACCTTTATATTTGAAGTATTTTCCCTCTGTTCACACTTTTCTGAGAGTTTTTATCATAAATAGAGCTGGATTTTATCAAATGCTTTTTCTACATTTATTGCCATGATCATGTGCTTTTACCTTTCATTTTGATTATGCAGTATATCACATGTAACAATCTGCAGATATTGACCGACCTTGCCACCTTGGAATAAATCCCACTTGTTCATGGTTTATGACCCTTTTAATGAATTGCTGGATCTGGTTTACTAATATTCGTTGAGGATTTTAGCATTCTTGTTCACCAAGAATATTGGCCCATAATTTTTTAAGTATATTTTACTGGTTATGGTATTACAGTTGTCTCATTTTTTATCCCCTTTATCTCCCTCCACCTTGGACCCCCTTCCCTCCAGCATTCTCCTCCACGCCCCCCGCTTAGTTCATGTCCATGGGTAGCATATACATGTTCTTTGGCTTCGCCATTTCCTATACTACTCTTAACCTCCCCCTGTCTGTTTTGTACCTACCAATTATGCTTCTTATTCCCTGTACCTTTTTCCCTATTCTCTGCTCTGTCCCTCCCCACTGATAACCCACAATGTGACCTCTA